GAGTGGGTCAAGGAAAGAGGAGCTGGGTATAGAGACCAGCATGTCCAAAGATCTGAGAAGAAATGAAATGAATTCAATGTGACTAAAGAATGTGAGTAATCAGGGGAAGTATGGCAAGAGAAGAGCCTGGAAAGTAGCTGACTACAGGTCACGAAGGACCTTATGAATCAAGTTAAAAGGGTTTGGACTTTTTCGACATGCACTGGGCAGCAGTTAATGTGTTTTAAGAGGGGAAAGTGATGTATCTGATTTTATAGAATAGGTGGTATAATCAGTCATTCTTGGGAAAAGTGACATTAAGTTTTCTGATTCATTTGTATAGGGGATTCTAGATTTTTGGTCACATATAAGAAGTGAAGAGAACTGCCTATAGAAGCTGGAAATTAGAGATGAAAAATGGGAAGATGTTTAGGAGAAAGGGACCCAATATTATTTCCATTATTCTGTAGATTTCACCTTTAACGTCCTGCCTCCCCTTCTTTCCCATTCTCTTTTTAAAATCAGTTGACAAGCCCCCAATCACAAATGTCCTCATAACAGATGCAGCCATAGCCGGTTTGGCTCAGTGGATACAGTGTTGGCCTGCAGATGAAGGGTCCCGGGTTTGATTCCTGTCAAGGGCATGTACTTTTATTGCAGGCTCCTCCCTGGCCCAGGCCCTGGTCAGGGAGAGTGCAGGAGGCAACCAATTGATCTGTTTCTCTCACATTGATATTTCTAAAAATCAATGGAAAAATATCTTCGGATGAGAATTTAAATAAAACCCAAACAAACAAAAATAATACAAGTTATAAAACAGATGCAGAGAAAGAAGATTTGACACACAGAGAAGAGAAAGCAATGTGACAGAGGAGGTAGAAACTGGAGCTGCCAGCTTGGAAGAGGAAGAAAATGGATTATCTATCCTCTTGGGCCTCCAGAGGGAGCATGGCCCTGCCAACACCTTGATTTCAGACCAGTGAAAGTAATCTCAGACTTCCGGTCTTCTGAACAGTGAGAAAATAAATGTCTTTTGTTTTAAGGTATCAAGTGTGGTAATTTGTAAAAGCAGTAATTGGAAATCAATACAACATAAAAAAAAAAAAAACCCACACACCTCAAGAATGAATTTAACAAAAGAAGTGCAAAATTTACTCTCTGAAAACTATAAAATACTAGAGGCCCAGTGCATGAATTCATGCACTGGTGGGGTCCGACTGGCCTGGCCCCCATTGGGGCAGATCGTGGCTGGGCCTGTCAGGAAGAGGAGACAGTTGGCTGGGGGGAGGGGCCCTGGGTGATTGGTTGGTGCATCCTGCCCCCAATTGGGGGGGGAGGGGAGGCGCGATTGGGAGCCAGCAGCTTTGAGGAGGGGCCATAGGTGGTTAGCTGGCCAGCCCTGTCCCTGATGGGGGGGGGCCTATCTGGGGTGGGGCCAGCTGGTCCCACCCCCTGATTGGGCCAGTTTACTGGCTGCAATGGGTATCATAGCGCCCGGTTGTTCTGGTAGTTATGGCGTTCCAGTTGCTGACTAGAGGTCTAGTGCACAAATACGTGCATGGGTGGGGTCCCTCAGCCTGGCTGGCAATCAGGGTCAACTGGGGCTGTCTCCTGCCAAGATCAGGGCCCAGAGCCAATTGAGGTGAGCAGGCCTGGGAGGTTGGCTAGCTGGCCCACCCTGATAAGGGCCATCGGGGCAGACTAGGTTGGCAGGGAAAAGGGGGGTTAAGGAAGGTTGGCTGTGGGAGAGCACTGACCACCAGGGGACAGCTCCTGTGTTGAGCATCTGAATTCTGGTGCTTAGTGTGCATCATAGCAACTGGTCATTCAGCTGTTCAGTCCCTTAGGCTTTTATATATATAGATTATTAAAAGAACTTTTTAAAGACCTAAACAAATAGAAAGACATTTCATGCTCATGGCTTAATATTGTTAACATGGCAACAGTCTCCAAATTGATCTACAGGTTCAACACTATCCAAAGTCCAGTTAGCTTTTTTTGTAAAAATTTACATACTGATCCTAAAGTTCATATAAAAATGCAAGGGACATAGAATAGTCAAATAATCTTAAAGGACTCACCCTTCTCAATTTCAAAACTTATTACAAAGGTAACATAGTATGGTATTGGTATAAGGATTGATATAAAGATAGACCAATGACATAGAATTAAGAGTCCAGAACTAAACCTGTACATTATGGTCAATTAATTTTCAAAAAGAATACAAGATAATTCAATGGGGAAGAAATAGTTTTTTCAACAAACGGTGGAGGAACAACTGGATATTAATGAAAAATAATGAAGGTGGAACCCTATATCACACCATACATAAAAATTAACTCAATATGGATCAAAGACCTAAATGTAAAAATTGAACTCTTAGTATAAAACATAAGCATAAATCTTCATAACCTTGTATAAAGCAATGGCTTCTTAGATATGATACCTAAAGCACAAGCAACCAAAGAAAAATTAGATACATTGGACTTCATCAAAATTAAACACTTTGTGCTACAAATGATACACATCAAGCAAGTTAAAAGACAACCCACAGAATGGGAGAAAATATTTGGAAATCATATATTTGATAAAGGACTGTATCCAGAATATAAAAAGAATTCTTACAACCAATAATAAAAAGACAAATAACCCAATTAGAAATGGAATATTATCAGAATAGACATTTCTTCAAAGAAGATCTACAAAATGGCCCATAAGCATATCAAAAGATGCTTAATGTCACCTGCCATTAGGGAAATGCAAACCAATATCACAATGAGGTACTAACTCACCCCCACTAGGGGGTCTACAAGAAGAAGACAGATTAAAGCAAGCGTTGGTAAGGCTTTGGAGAAATTGGAAGCCTCATTTATTGCTGGTGGGTATGTAGAATGGTTTATCTTCTTTGGAAACAGTCTACAAATTCCTCAAATGGTTAAACAGAGTTACTATATGACCCAGCAACTCCATTCCTAGGTACTCAAGAGAAATGAGAACATACTTCTCCACAAAAGCTTGTATACAAATGTTCATAGAACTATTCACAAAAACCAATAAGTGGAAACAACTCAAATGCCCATCAACTGATGAATCTATAAATAAAACGTGGCATATCCATACAATGAAATATTCAACAACAAAAAGGCATGAAGTAATGATACATGCTACAGCATAGAGGAACTTTGAAAACATTATGCTAAGTGAAAGTGCCAGTCACAAAAGACCATATATTGTATGATTCCATTTTTATGCAATGCCCAGAATAGGCAAAGATTAGTGGTTGCCTAGGACAGGAGGTGAGAAAAAAAGAGGGACTGCTATTGGGCACATTCCTTTTGAGTGTGATAAAACTGTTCTAAAATTATGATGTTTGCACAGCTCAGTGAATATACTAAAATGTATTAAATTATATGCTTTAAATGGGTGACATATGTATTACATCTCAATAAAGCTGTTAAAAATTTACTCAGTATGTATGTGCAAATGTTATGATTGCCAGTTTATGATCTTGTCTTCTTTGCCAACACTAGTTGAGTCCTAGAAGAGTTTTATAAAGATTTACTGTACTGCTAACTCCGAGATTTTCTTGTAACAAAATGGCTGATAAATATTTAATAATCAAAAACAAAACAAGGCAGTGTAATTTGTCATTGATATAATGCATAAGAACAAATTAAATTTCAAGTTCCAAGGAAAGGGAAAGGCTTATTTGTGACCTAACTTGTGAGTTTGTTGAAATGGAAACTTTTCCTAATACAAATCCTGACAAATGGTACAAAAACACTTGGGTAGGCTGTTAAAGCACCCTGAGCTTGCATTGCTGGGCTTGAAGCAACAATGTTAGAAATAAAGGCATGGAGCCTGGATTCCCCTTGCCTTCTTCTTGATTTCAGCAGATGATTTAGAAACCAGGACTTCCTCACCCTGGCTGCTGAGATAGAGAGGTTAGTTCTTCCACAAATCCAGAAGGCAGCTCCAAGTCAGACTCGATTTCTAGTCCTAAATCCGCTCTGCAAGTTGGGGGGCAAATTCAAGACCTTCATTTGCTCTTGGCGGTGCTTATTTCCTAAGGCAGACGAAGAGAACGGCTCCTACCCATCCAACTTCCTTTACCTGTGAGAAGCAGGAGTGAACTGGCACAGTGGAGTGTTGAGAAAACCTGAAGTAGGACATAATGAAATATGCATAGGCTGGGTTTGAACCAAGTTCTGCTGTGGACCTGTGTGACCAGGGGCAAATCACCTACATCTGAACCGGCTTCATTATTTATAAAACGGGCTTCCTTTCATATCTCCAAACTGGTAGTTAGGAGGAGAGTTGGGGCTGCATTTGGGGGGAGGTGTCTTTCTGTAGCGCCCTCAGATGAGCACGAAGAGGGCAAGTGTCCTGGTTGTCCGTGTCTAAACCCTGGCTCCGGCTTCTCTCGCCCAATTGTCTTATTTACAGATAAACAAAGTTCCATAGTTACACAGAAGGACGGTCACAAAACCCATCCAAGGGCCTTGGGGTTTGTGAGCAATTTGTCACGGCCTGCGTTGGAGCAACCGCGACAGCAGCTGCGCAACGTAGCCACCGCCTCAGAGACAAGCGGAAGCCCGCCGCCTAGAGGCTGGCTCCGGCCCCGCAAGGGAAGCATCGAGAAAAGACTCGGTACTGCGGCATTCTGGAGCCAATACGCTCTCAGTTAGCTCTGCTAGCTCCTTTTTTCCATTGGGCCTCTGTAACTGCCAATCAATCATTTGCCCAGCTTTTATTGGTTTAGCTTCGATCATTCTACTCAAGTTACTAATCACATGTTTCTATCCGAAAACATCTTTGCGTCATTAGCTCCCTTCCCTAGTCTGACGGATTTAACCAGTTCTTCTAGCCCATTGGCTGGCCCCAGTCCCTCGTCTAGTACGTCCTGTTCGAGGCGGAAGTGAGAGAATCCCTCTTCCTATTGGCTTAGATTGGCAAGCGGTGGTTGTCCATCAGTCTATCAACCCGGAAGTACGGCTCCGGAAGGGGCGGGCTTTGCGACAATGGCGGCGCCCGTGCCTACGGTGTGTTCTCATTCTCTTCCTCCGGTTGGTTGCTAACGTGGATGCTTCCTTTACCCTAAGTGACACAGGCAAATTATTGGCGCGAGGGAAGAGTGGTGATGAAAGTAGCTTCAGGGAGGCAACCTCCGTAGCATAGCGTGGGGAAACGGGGCTGGAATTACCGCTCCTCAGCGGTAACCTTTGAGGGGCTGGCCCGCTAGCTGGCAAGTTGTGAACAGGAGTGGGAAGGCCGGAAGTCTGGGGTGTCCGAAGGAAATTGGGGGCTTTAACATCTCATAATCCATAGGGAAGAATGGCTTTTCTTTATTCTCCCTTCTATAGGAGGTGCTGGAGGCAGACCTGCCGAGAGCGGTGGCACTTTTGAAAAACCTCCAGGAGCAGGTGAGTAACATCACCCTTTTGGAATAGATTAATCAGCGATTGACTTTGACTTCGTGCACTTCACCTCCAAACTTTGTTGATTTGGGAGGATATATTTGAATGCTATCAAATGCCATAGAAGCAAAATGATTTGATGAAGCCCTTTTCAGGCCACAATGAAAAGTAATTGACTTCTGCATCCAAAGGAATACAGAAAACTTAAGAAAAAATTATCTGAATCCGTTTCCTTTATTTTTATAGTTAAGGAAACTGATGCTGGGAAAGGTGATGCAATTTGCCTTTTGGATGCCCAGCTAATACACATTTATGTAGTTCTTTGCATTGTAAGTTCAGCCGATACAGATAAAGGTATAGTCCCCATGGCTTCCCCATGCTTTGGTAAGGTGATTTCTTTAGCTTTAAAAAAGGTGAAAAGTTTTTTCTACCTTTTGAAGAAGTATCAGAAACCATCCTTCTTTATTCTTTTACAGAACTGAAAAGAAAATACTGTATGGTGAACAGTGTTTAAAATAACCTTTAAGTGGCATTGTTAGCTTTTGTCCTTTACAGCTTACAGAGATCACTTGATGTATTCTAGTCAGCTGTTTTATTTGAACTAATTTCAGGTAATGGCTGTAACTGCACAAATTCAAGCTCTGACAAAAAAAGTTCAAGATGGAGCCTATCCTACAGAGAAGGTAAGACATACTTGAAGAGTAAGCATCCCCTGAGTTATTGTTCTTTCACGATATTGAATGTCTTGTATACTAAGTGCTGGACCTTTAAAGATGAATAAAATCCAATTTCTGTGCTGAAGCCTAACGAGTAAGACAGATCAAAGTTATAGGTATAAGCAGTAGCAGCCATGTTGCAAGAGTCATGATGAGTTCTGTGCAAGCCAAGGAGGAAGAGGAAGCAGAGGAAGTCATTGAAGACTTATCACAGAAGGTAACAGGATTGTGAGGAATAAATACCCTGTTTCCCTGAAAATAAGACAGTGTCTTATATTAATTTTTGCTCCCAAAGATGCGCTAGGTCTTGTTTTCAGGGGATGTCTTATTTTTCCATGAAGAAGAATACGGTACACATTTATTGTTAAATGAAAATAAAGGAAATTTATTACCTGTATATGATATGGTAGTACGGTAGTTGTCAACACAAACCAGACAAACTGTGAATCCTACAGTATCAAGAATTTACTCATTTATTCAATGACAATCATGTCATCATCTTCTGGAACATCATCATAACAATCCAATTCCTGAATTTCCTGGTGAATTTCTTGTGACTCCATTTCTTTCAGAATCAGTGGACCAAATCTCTAATCTTTAGCAATAGCACTGTCTTTAAATGAGTACTTCTTATCAAGGTAGCCTGCTCGCAGTGCATTTGCAATGCAAATGTCAGTGATTTTCTCCCATGAATTCTTCACCCAAGTCACAGCTTCTTGTAGTTTAGGTTTCACAAAGTTTCCACGCTGATTTCTCTCCATTCTATTTTCAGTGTAGTCATTAATTTCCATGCGCAAATTGTCTTTGAATGGCTTGTTTATTGCAATATCAAGAGTCTGGAGATAGGCCGTCATCCCTGTGGGAATCATTTTCTGATCTATTTTTCTTTCGTGAAGAAATGTCTTCATATCTTTAGTGCGGTGAGTGCTGGCTGCATCCCAGACTAGCAGACCTCTTTGGCTCCCTCGCATAACAAGCGGCAGCATTAAATCGACCGACTTCCTTATAACTGCTTGTGTGGCCCAGGCTTTTTCAGTTTCAAGAATAAAATCGCCCAGAACACGTTCAATCTTTTCCTTCTTGCCCTTAGAAATGATTAAAGGAAAGATTTTAGTGCCATCCAGATGAATTGCCAAAATACAGGAAACACATGCACTTTTGTAAGCAGTGGAGGGAATGGACACTAAGGAGGCACCCCGCTGTTCAATTGTTGTTTGAGATGATTGGCCCATAAACACTGCAGTTTCATCCATAGAAATCATGTTGGAAAGATTGTATTTAGAGAAGTCAGCATCATCAATAAAGGACTTGAATGCAAGTGCTCACTTAATAACTTGAGTATCTTCCAACCTAATCAATGTTGTAGATCTTCTTAAAAACAGTTCACTTCGCTGAAGGAAATTATCCAGCCAGTGTTGTGATGCTTTGAAGTCTTCGGGGGCTATGTCAACTGTGGTGCCATTGCAAGGGCAAATTCTTGAATCTGAGCCCTATTTACAACCAAAGCCTTTGCTCTCCTGTCAACAACCCATTCACAGATCAGGTCTTCCAGCTTGCTGACCTGATCCACACTTGTGCTTTTTAGCATTTCCCTTGTCCACTTGTTCAATGAGGTTACCATACTCTGCTCGCCATTTTCGGACCAATCAGATACTCAACATCTTCTCTTTGCAGAAAGCAGTAAGATTTTGGCCCCAAGAGTCATCCACAGTTCCTTTCTTGTACTCCACGGAGTAGCTTTTTCTTTTTGCGCTCATTTCTAGGGGTAAAAAAAAGGAACTGGGGTATCAAGGTGGGGGGAGGGGTATCACTTAAAATGACACGGGGGATCAGAGGAGGGAATCAAAATGGCACAGGAGAATCAGAAGGGGGATTACCATTTTAGTAACCCCTTTTGATCCTCCTGTGTCATTTTGATTGCCCCCTCTGTGACATTTTAAGTGATTTCCCTCCCCTCACCCCTATACCACTGAACAACTTCACCAGACACCCCCCTACCCCTTTATCAGATATTTATCCTCTGGGGCCTGCCTGGGTACTGTCACTGGGCTTGCTGGGGCCTGGATCTGGGCTGGAGCAGGGTCTGCCACTGACTGAGAACCTTCAGTCATTATGAGGGCGGCCCCAAGCATCAGGTAGTGTCACCAGAGACAGACCAGTACTCACCACCTTTGCCGCATCCCGTCAGCTCTAATCCTCTTGTTCTTCTACATGCATCTGCGAAAGTCTCCTCCTCTCTCCCGCCCCACGCTCACCACTCACTCCGACCTCTGCTCCACCTCCACATAACAGTGACGTAAGGACTCCACATAACGTCACTGGTTGCTAGATGCCAATCAGTGCGGCCCTAGCGACCAGTTTACGGTAAATTTTCATTCTGAGACCTTATTTTCGGAGGGATGCCTTATATTTCACTCAGAAGGAAACCTGTAAGTAGGTCTTATTTTCCGAGGATGTTTTATTTTCAGGAAAACACGGTAGGAGTCAGAAATACAGAAAGAAGTCCTGAAAGCACGGTGATATTCTAGGAAAGGAGCTAAGTCCTTTAGTGTGTGTGTGTGTGTGTGTGTGTGTGTGTGTGTGTGTGGTAGGGTTAGAAAAAAAGACTGACTGGAAAAGTAGTGATTGTGGGAAGTCTTGTCAAGAAAAAATGTTACCTGTTAATCTGTGACATATATTAAAGTACTGTTTATTAAAAGATGCTTCTTGGCTTCAGAGATGTCAAAATATGAAAACAATGTGCATCTTAAAATTGAAAGATGGTGGTTTATAAGTTAATGTCTTATAGAACCTTCTCAGGAATCATTGAGAATGGCCAGTATAAACAGAGAGTTCTCGATTCTTCTATTTACTTGAACTGGAAAATCTGGTGTCATATGTTTTATATATTGAACTTTTTTGCTGAGCTATTTATTTAAGCAAAACATACCACAAGTTAACAAAAGTATGAAAATTATTGCAGTAGGTTAATAAGAAGCATTGAAGGATTTTTAATCATGGGATTTATTCTTTGGAAAGCAGTTTTGTTCTTTAGAAAGATAGCTAACAGCATTTTAATTTAATTTAATTTAATTTTTTTTTATTGATTTCAGAGAGAAAGGGAGAGGGAGAAAGAGAAACATCAATGATGAGAATCATTGATTTGCTGCCTCCTGCATGCCCCCTATTGGGGACCAAGCCCACAACCTGGGCGTATTCCCTGAGCAGGAATCAAACCATGATCTCCTGATTCACTGGTCAAGGCTCAACCCCTGACACACCAGCTGAGCATAAGAGCATTTTTTAATATAGTCTCTTTGTCTTTTCTTTCTCGTCATTAAATTTTGTTCTTTGTCTATTGTTATACTTGCTGATTATTTATTTTTTTAATCTTTGCCTTTTCTTCCTTTTTTGTGTTTCTCTTGTGCTTGTAACTCAGTTTGTACTTGGCAGTGTCTACGCATGTCAGAAGAGCCTACTTCTCAAACTCTTGACTGTCTTTATTCTGGATACCATGCTTTGCTTCAATTCAATGCCTTTTTGAAATGGGCTGCCAGCATGTATCAGATCACTATATGTTTATTTATTCATTGAGCAGATATTTACTAGTTTGTCACCAAAGACTTTTACTAGGTGTTTTATAGGTTACAGAGTGTTTTCATGTTATCTTATTTGCACCTCATAATTGCTCTTTGACACAGGAAGGAAATAGTGTTCATATTACAGATGAGGAGACTGATGTTAGAAGGTTAAGTGACTTACTCAATATTAAATTACTGAATACCTAATTCAAAAGTTAAACTCAATTTGTCTGCCTTTAAATCCTTTGCTTATTCTCCTGTACTACACTAATGCTGGTCTTAGGAGCTTATCTTGTTAGACCAAACTGAGTTTGAATCCCAGTTCTATTCCTATTTCTGTGTAATCTTAGGCAGAGTATTTAACCTGTTTGGTATAGGTCTTCCTAGAACAAATGACAATGAAAACACAACAATCCAATGCCTATGGGACACAGAGCCTACCTCAAAAAAACAAGAAAAACTATTTATAAATTATCTAACTCTACAACTTCAAGAATTAGAAAGAGGCTAACAAGGAAAGCCCAGGAAGGAGAAGGAAGGAGATAATAAAGATCAGAGACCTTATCTGGTTTGGCTCAGTGGATAGAGTCGGCCTGCGACTGAGGGGTCCCAGGTTCAATTCCAGTCAAGGGCACATGCCCAGGTTGCAATCCCCAGTAGGGGGCATGCAGGAGGCAGCCCACCAATTATTCTCTTTCATCACTGATGTTTCTATCTCTCCCTCTCCCTTCCTCTCTGAAACCAATAAAAATATGTTTTTAAAAAATAAATGTCAGAGCAGAAATAAATAAAATAGAGACCAAAATAATAATAATTATATATATATATATATATATATATATATGAACAATGAAACCAAGAGCTGGTTCTTTGAAAGGATTAACAAATTGATGAACCTGTAGCCAGGCTCACCAAGAGGCAAAGAGAAAGGAACCAAATAAAATCAGAAATTAAAGAGGCGAAATAACAAGACCCCACAGAAATACAAAAGATGATATATAATTACTGTTCTATGATAAACACTAGGGTACATTTTTAAAAAATATATATTTTATTAATTTTTCACAGAGAGGAAGGGAGAGAGATAGAGAGCTAGAAACGTCGATGAGAGAGAAACACTGACCAGCTGCCTCTTGCACACCCCCTACCGGGGATGTGCCTGCAACCAAAGTACATGCCCCTGACCGGAATCGAACCCGGGACCCTTTAGTTCGCAGACCGACGCTCTACCACTGAGCCAAACCGGTTTCGGCATAGGGTACATTTTTTTGGAAATTTCTTTTATTACAAAAGCAATACATGCTTAATGAAAAAACAGTTTCACAGCACTCCATTTCTTCTTTTTTCTCATTTTGCTCTCCAGGGATAGAAGTTGTTAATTATGTGTTATTTTCCAGACATCTTTTTATACATACAAAATGTGTGCATCATACTCCCTCCATTTTGTTAAAAATATATTTTATTGAGTTTTTGCAGAGAGGATGAGAGAGGGATAGAAAGCTAGAAACCTCGATGAGAGAGAATCATCGATCAGCTGTCTCTTGCACACCCCTTACTGGGGATGTGCCCGCAACCAAAGTACATGCCCTTGATCGGAATCGAACCCAGGACCTTTTGGTCCGGAGGCCGACACTCTATCCACTGAGCCAAACCGGTTTCGGCTACTCCCCCCATTTTAGTTGGAACCATATTACACACATTTTCTTCACAGTGTAGAACGTGTGATATGAAACTAAGTATGACGAATTATGTCAGTATGTATAGATCATTGTTTTTACCTATATTGTATAATTCCATTGTATGGAGATAAAATCAGTAATTGTTTTTTATTAAATTAGTTTAAAATTCAGCATTATGGAGGCATTTTTAAAAATGTGTTTTTATTCAGAGAGGAAGGGGGTGGGGAGAAAGAGATAGAAACTTTAATGATAAGAGAGAATCATTGATTGGCTGTTTCCTGCACACCCCCATTGGGGGTTGAGCCGGAAACCTGGGTATGTGCCCTCACCAGGAATGGAACCATGACCTCCTGATTCATTAGTCAATGCTTAACCACTGAGCAACACTGGCTGGGCTGGAGGCATTTTTTATTGTCACAACTTGAGGGGTTATCAGTGAGTAGAGGCCAGTGATGCTGCTGAGCATTCTCCAGCGCCTAGACAGCGGTCCACAAATGATCTGTCCCTAAATGTTAATAGCTCTGAGGTTGAGAAATCCTGCTGTAGTTATTTTGGGGATATTTGATTGATTTTCTTGCTCTTACTGTGTTTTAAAAGGGCTCTGAGCTTTGCTTTTCTCTTGCTAGCATAATTTTCTCTTTGGCCATTTCAGGTACAGCCACCCCCCTTTATTTTTTTTTTTTTTATTTATTTATTTTTTTTTTAAGCAATCTTTATTGTTCATATTATTACAAAGGTTCCTCATTTCTTCCCCCCTCCACCAGGTTCCCACCCCACCCTCCGTCCCCCCCCCATCCCCCATTGTCCTCATCCATAGGTGCAGTTTATGTTCAGTCTCTTCTTCCCTCAATTTCCCCAATAGTAAATCCCTTTTCAGATAGTAAATCAGTTACTTAGCATTTTCTCATATCAATAATACCTCCACATGCCCAATGATACACTTCACACAAAAGACATTTCCCACTAGGTCAACCAGCCTCATCCAGGCCCCACCCAAGGCACTCACAGATCAACACCCCAGTCCTAAACTAACTCAACACATCCAGATCTAAGCCTTCATCACTTGATTCAGCAGACACTCAAGTTCCCACGAAAGTTTCCAGCCATGTCTGAGAAGCAGCCGTGGGGCAGGGGCAGGCAAGGAGCGAGCTGTTCTGGGCCTGGCTGCTCAGGGCCTGACCTCTGTTGCTCTGGTTCATTCCACAACCAGCTGCTCCGGGTCTGGTCACTGCCGCTCCCAACCTAGTTGCTCTGGACTTGGCTGCTGCTGCTCCGGGCCTGGCCGCTCCCAGCCTGGCCGCCGCTGCTCCGGGCCTGGCCGCACCCGACCCGGCTGCTCCCCCGGGCCTGGCCGCTCCCAGCCTGGCAGCCGCTGCTCCGGGCCTGGCCGCACCCGACCCGCCTGCTCCCCCGGGCCTGGCCGCTCCCAGCCTGGCAGCCGCTGCTCCGGGCCTGGCCGCACCCGACCCGCCCGCTCCCCCGGGCCTGGCCGCTCCCAGCCTGGCAGCCGCTGATCCGGGCCTGGCCGCACCAGCCCCGCCTGCTCCCCCGGGCCTGGCCGCTCCCAGCCTGGCAGCCGCTGCTCCGGGCCTGGCCGCACCCGACCCGGCTGCTCCCCCGGGCCTGGCCGCTCCCAGCCTGGCAGCCGCTGCTCCGGGCCTGGCCGCACCAGCCCCGCCTGCTCCCCCGGGCCTGGCCGCTCCCAGCCTGGCAGCCGCTGCTCCGGGCCTGGCCGCACCCGACCCGCCTGCTCCCCCGGGCCTGGCCGCTCCCAGCCTGGCAGCCGCTGCTCCGGGCCTGGCCGCACCCGCCCCGCCTGCTCCCCCGGGCCTGGCCGCTCCCAGCCTGGCAGCCGCTGCTCCGGGCCTGGCCGCACCCGCCCCGCCTGCTCCCCCGGGCCTGGCCGCTCCCAGCCTGGCAGCCGCTGCTCCGGGCCTGGCCGCACCCGCCCCGCCTGCTCCCCCGGGCCTGGCCGCTCCCAGCCTGGCAGCCGCTGCTCCGGGCCTGGCCGCACCAGCCCCGCCTGCTCCCCCGGGCCTGGCCGCTCCCAGCCTGGCAGCCGCTGCTCCGGGCCTGGCCGCACCAGCCCCGCCTGCTCCCCCGGGCCTGGCCGCTCCCAGCCTGGCAGCCGCTGCTCCGGGCCTGGCCGCACCCGACCCGACTGCTCCCCCTGGCCTGGCCGCTCCCAGCCTGGCAGCCGCTGCTCCGGGCCTCAGCCACCCCCCTTTAGATTACTCCAGATATCTTATATGAATTGATTGGGAAAAGACTGTCCTGTTTGTCCTAGGCTCTCCTCCTGATTCTCTGGCTAAAACAGAGTGTGCATCTCTTATTGTTTTGTTTAACTCAGGGTCTCAGCCTCTTGGAAGTGAAAGACCAGTTGCTGCTCATGTACCTTATGGATTTGAGCCATCTCATCCTGGACAAAGCCTCAGGAGGGTCTCTTCAGGGACATGCTGCAGTTTTGAGACTGGTGGAGATTCGCACGGTATTAAGTATTTGGCATCTTAGAATCCTAGGTTTCCAAATCCTGAACTCCAGGACGGTCACACAATAGCTCTCATTTAAGTAAATGTTCTCAGATTTAAGTGAGAAAACCAAATGAAAGATAGTATTTTTCTTTTCTTTGGTTCTAACTTTGTGCATATGCTAATTAAGTGCTTTACTTGGCAATTTAATATAGGGACTCTGGTGCGTGCTTAATTTTGGGAAGAGAATGTGATCCTTTCTAACCATGTTACAGGTTTTGGAAAAACTTCGTCCCTTGGACCAAAAACTGAAGTATCAAATTGACAAACTGGTCAAGACTGCAGTGACAGGCAGCCTCAGTAAGTGGGAGAAGCTGCAAGGTTATGTGGATTCCATCATAAAGTCCAAAATCTTATAAAATCTCTTGGGGGGTTTTTGTTTCAGGTGAGAATGACCCCCTCCGTTTTAAGCCTCATCCCAGCAATATGATGAGCAAGGTAAGGGGTTGCGTTATCCTGATTTTCCTGAATGAGCCTTGTGGTGAACCTGAAATCTCCTGGGATTCTCTTATTACTCTTGATTCCCAACTTGTGCCTTAGAGTGTTGAGTATGAGATTCTCCCTTCTGCCCAGGGTACACCAGCTTTGGTTTTTCTTATCACCTGTCTAACACTTTCTAAGTTTGTGGACATTCTAATCTTTTTATAGTTGAGCTCTGAGGATGAGGAAGATGAAGCAGAGGAAGGACAGGCTGGGGCTTCAGGGAAGAAATCTGCAAATGGAGCAGTTAAGAAATATGTTCCACCACGCTTGGTGCCAGTACATTATGGTATGAACCGTGGCTAGCAGCTCCTCGGTGTGAATTGTGTTTCTCTTCTTTTCTCTGTTCTGGGATAACCTTTGCTAATTTTTATCACAGATGAAACAGAGGCTGAGCGGGAAAAGAAGCGTCTAGAACGAGCCAAGAAGCGAGCATTGAGTAGCTCTGTCATTCGTGAACTTAAGGAGCAGTACTCAGATGCTCCAGAGGAAATCCGTGATGCCCGGCATCCTCATGTTACTCGCCAGAGTCAGGAGGATCAGCACAGGTCTGACTCCTTGTAATTAGACATTGTTTTCTGCGCTGTATAGACTTGTCCTTGTGCTTTGGCTAAATATGGTTGAGTCTAGTGCCAAGCGAACCCACGTTATGTAGAAAATGGAGTGGAAAATTTGGGAGGACATAGGGGTGTGAAGTACAGACTAAGAACTAGGAAAAAGATATCCCCCCTTTCCCAACTGAGCAAATGCTGTATGAAGGAGAATATATGCAGTTCCACCTAGTAGGGCTTTAACATTCTGGATTTCACTATCACAGCTCTCACTTTAAAGCAGGTTTTTATAATGGCATCAGGAGTAGAAAAGTGTCACTTAAATACGTACTCATTGACTTTGCCCAGTTGATAGGTTTGAGTGAAGGAGCCCATGTAGCCCATCCTGCCAATAGATCTGAAACATAAGAGTTTTCTGATATAATAATAGTTTAAATATTCCACTGGTTGAGCTGTGAGTTTATCAGTAGGGAGGAGGGAAATTGTAGCACAAAGGACGTTTCTTTGAGGAAGTTCAGTGTTGAGCATTTGATATGTCCTTACTAATTACTATATTGCCCTGCTATGAAATCTGTTGAGAACTGTCATAATAAGGGGTGAGTAAATGTCTGAGCCCAGGTTCTGGGCTGAAGCTTGTGTCTTGTGGACTGAGCATGTTAAAAACATTGTCTTTGTTTCTTTGACAGGATTAACTATGAAGAGAGCATGATGGTGCGTTTAAGTGTCAGTAAGCGAGAGAAAGGACGACGGAAACGTGCAAATGTCATGAGCTCACAACTTCATTCTCTCACGCACTTCAGTGACATCAGTGCTTTGACAGGAGGAACCCCTCATCTTGATGAGGTGAGGTTGTAATACATGGAGGGAGGTGGCCTTCATACTTTCAGCCAAATGTATGTGGGGCTTGTTGCTATGGGTAACTGGGGAAGAGAGACCAACACTTGTACTCTCACTGCCATTCCTTTACTTCTCCGTTTGTCTCCAGGATCAGAATCCTATTAAGAAGCGGAAGAAGATACCCAAGAAAGGTCGGAAGAAAAAAGGTCAGTAAATAGCTAGGAGTTAGGTGATCAAGTGCAGGGAGGAGAGTATGAATTGGGGTGCCAGCTTTGAATTTGCCATCCTGGGTCTTACTAAGCCCTATGATATCTCTTCCATGCTGGGCATTAATCTCTTTAGAGGTGGGATTTTATTTTTCTTCTTTCCAAGCTGAAAATTAGCATAATTCACAGAAGAGTTTCTGGATTGTTTCTCTAAACTCCCACACCTTTTCAGACTTCCGTAAATAAAACCATTAAAATGTCACTTAAGAAACCATTATCCCACTTCAGTTTCTTCCTACTTGTAGTCTTTTGTCCTGGGAGGATATAGAGTAGTGTCTAGTGGCCTTCTCTTCAGATGTCTTTTTGTTCTTGTTCTGTTCCTTCAGCGTTTCCAACTGTCCTTTTCCTCATTCTTGATTTCCCTTCCTTTCAGGTTTTCGGAGGCGGCGGTGATTGTGGGTGTATATAAATTTATATATTTTTTTTGTCATCCTGGGATACTTCCAATCGCACTGTATGTAGGTTCTTTTCCTCAGAATGTATTGTTTGCTCTGGACATGTGGAAATCTATTAATAAAACTGATTTTACTATGAATTGAAGCCCCTATTGCACATGTATGACTCATTTGCTGGGTGTGGGTATTTTAGGTGAGAAGGCAATAAAAGGGAAAGATGAGGTTTTGGGGGGAGTGGGAGAAGTTTGGCTCTGTATAGGTGTTTTTTATTTGTTTGTTTGTTTTTTAATATATTTTATTGATTTTTTACAGAGAGGAAGGGAGAGAGATAGAGAGCTAGAAACGTTGATGAGAGAGAAACATCGACCTCTTGCACACCCCCTACTGGGGATGTGCCCACAACCAACGTACATGCCCTTGACTGGAATCGAACCTGGGACCTTTCAGTCCGCAGACGGATGCTCTACCACTGAACCAAACCGGTTTCGGCTGTATAGGTGTTTTTTTGTTTTATAATAGTAACTAGAAATTGGTTATTTAACAAAATAAATAAATGAGCTCTGGCCAGTGTTGCTCAGTACTTAGAATGTTGGCCTATGCACCACAGAGTCGTGGGTTTGATTACAGTCAAGTACCTGGGTTGCAGGTTCGATCCTTGGCCCCTGTTGGAACTTGTGCGGGAGGCAACCAATTGATGTATCTCTCTTACATACTATTTTTCTCCCTCCTTCCCTTCCTCCCTCCGTCTCTTCCTCCCTTCCTCCCTCCCTTGCCTTCCTTCCTTTTACTTTCTTTAAAAAGCAATGCAGCCCTAGCTGGTTTGGCTCAGTGGATAGAGTATCAGCCTGCGGACCAAAGTGTCCCAGGATCAATTCTGGTCTAGAGCACATACCTTGGTTACAGGCTTCTCCCCAGCCTGGGCCCTACAGGAGGCAAACAATCGATTTGTTTGATTTGTTTCTCTCATATTGATGTTTCTTTCCCTCTCCCATTCTCTGAAAGTTCAGTAGAAAAATATCTTAAAAAAAAAAAAAAAAAGGCAGTGGAAAAAATATCCTCCAGTGAGGGTTAAGAATTTTGAAAAATTGAGAGATTAGCATATCATAGTCAACTTTTCAGCTCATGTTGTCCCAAGTTCCTGTACTACATTAATTTTAAGTTTTTTAATTTGTATCTTTCTGGCCACCAGGTGGCATCAGAGGTTAAGAAAACCTTTTGATGCTTGACTAATCAAAAGCAAGATAGAACTTTTCCCCATCAGTCAGTTACTCTTGTCTCCATTTCTCTGGATGTATTTCTTTTCTTTCTAAAATAGCATGAACACGGGGCTGAGCTTAGCTCAGTTATTGGGTTTATCTTGAGAGAACAGTAAATGAGAAGACTAGGGTATGATGAATCTGTATGGCTTTGTGTTTTTCAGCCTCTTTGACCTTCTTTCAACTAAGGCCTTAGTTTACTAGTCAGTAAAGGCCAGCCCTTTTACAAAGAGCTTGCAAAAGAATGCCAGCAAGCAGGCAGAAAGAAAGTTCCTAGCTTAAAGACTAAAGAAATGAAAATCTCACAGAATTATCTGCCAAGTCAGATGATGGATGGGAATTACATATTTGAGATCTTACATTTTTTTCAGGGAATGACTTGTTAGTAAGAGATCCCTCAGGCCTTGGATAATAAAGTGAAAAGAGGAATGGAAAGAGAGAAGTTGAGGAGTCCGTAGAGTTAATTCATTGTAGTTTAAGGGCGTGGGACCTCATGAACATCTAATTTTCAAGTCTGGCATTTCTGGGCAGTGTCATAAAGAAGGATATAATTTGGGTCATTGATTCCTATGAATTGGGATCTCTACTGGTCTGATTGGAGCGGGGGCCTGTTTTTAGTCAGCAGCACCCTGGAAGAAAGTAGTTAGGAGACAGCCTCACATTTTCTGTTGACTCTGATTTTAGGTGAATCACTTAACATCTCTGGTCTTTAATTTTCTTCAGCTGAAGAATGTGTAAGGCACTGACCAATTTGGTTCAGTGGATAGAGCGTTGGCCTGTGGACTGAAGGGTCCCGGGTTTGATTCCGGTCAAGAGTATGTACCTTGGTTGCAGGCACATCCCCAGTAGGGGGTGTGCAAGAGGCAGCTGATCAATATTTCTCTCTCATTGATATTTCTAACTCTATCCCTCTCTCTTCCACTCTGTAAAAAAAATCAATATATTTTTTTTTTTTTTTTAAAGAATGTGTTAGACAATCTCTGAGGTTCCCTCCCAACCAGAGAGCCTAGAGCTGTTTCTCATGAATGACACCAAGATGCTTTTACTTCTGGGGCCTCTAACTTTTAGTCCCTGGAAGATCTGAGAAAACCTGACATAACCAGGGCCCTCATACTTCTATTTCTTTGAGTAAATCTAAGCAAAGAGGCACAAGAACAGATTTAGAGATCCTTTTTCCTTTCTGGTTGAACTAACTTGACAGGAGGTTCAGTTAAAAAATCCTTTAGGACTATTGCATTATTTATTAAAATTTTTGAAATATGGGAACTGCCAAGGGAAAGGAGGTGCTTTCTCTTTTTTTTCTTTTTAAGGATCTTTCTTGCTCTAACTGGTTTGACTCAATGGATAGAGAATCAGCCTGGGGACTCAAGGGTCCCAGGTTCGATTCTGGTCAAGGTCATATACCTTGGTTTCGGGCACATCCCCAGTAGGAGGTGTGCAGGAGGCAGCTGATTGATGTTTCTCTCTCATCGATGTTTCTAACTCTCCCTTTCTTCTCTCTGTAAAAAATCTAATAAAATATATATTTTTAAAAATATATCTTTCTTTGTGTTACATCCTGAGCTAAGAGCTTTACACTTAATCCTTACAAAATATGTCATGTCTATATTACTAGTGAGGAAACAGACACTTAAATTATTTGCCCAAGGTTACCAAGCTAATAAGTAAGAGAAACAGTGCTTGTGGAACTTGGAGGATGGAGTACTTCAAGTGTCCTATGATTTATGAAAGTCTTCAGAATTTTTTTTTTACCTTTTTAAAAAGTAATATTGGTAGGTAGTTTATAACCTCAAGCTTCTTCCTCTCTGCTGCTCATTTCCATTCCAGGCCTTACTTTCAAGAAAACCACAAGTTCCAGGCATTGTTCTGGCCTCTTGCTGGTATAGCAGTGAACTGAACAAAAGTCCCTGTCTTCGTGGATCTTACATTAATTTAACCCAGTCTTCTAACTCAGAACATTTTGTTATCCCTCACCTAATAGATGACAGGCATTATTTGGAAGAGGTTTTCAACAAAGAGTTGAATAATTTCTGAGAATATTTGCTCCGGTATCATCCAACAATGTTTGGAGTACATTGTTCACAAAGTTTTACATGGATTTTCCATGTGTACAACAGGCATAAGGGAGGTTACTTTCGTTAAAGTGAGAATGAGGGGTCCTGGAGCTTCATGTTGTCATGGCTCTCTTTCCCCAAGATTTCTGAGGAGCTCCCATGTTTCTTTAGAACTCCACAGAATATAGTTTGAAAACTAATGTAGTAGAGCAAGGGAACTAAGACTTAGGATTTGAGGTTTTCTTTATGGCCATTGTTTTCCTTCTCATTCCTACTCATAAATTCAGTTCTCTGATTATTGAGACCACATAAATGTCAGGTTTCCTCAGTACTGACAGCAGATGATTCATTTCTAATGCTTTACTAAGTAATGTCCATCGTTAATGCACATGAGCATCTGTTCAGTTTTATCATGTGATGGTAAAGAGTGTTGGCTTTGTTCTGGACTAGTAATTGAGCACCTCTGCTTTAGTATTTATATCTTGAGGGGGTGGGGAAGAGGATTTGACCAAGACCTGTTTTTGCCTTTGAATCTTTTTTTTTTTTTTTTGCCTTTGAATCTTTTGTTATGACTTTATGAAGGCTTGTCTGTCAGGAGTTCATGTAGTCTTCATGGATACCTTACTAGAAAAATACTTTTTGTCTATTAATATAAGGGTGATGTGATTTAAGTCCGTTTTCAGCACCATGGAGAGTTCAAAAACCATTCCTTGTTATGGGTTGGTGGAATGTGCAATCCATAGAGCTTGGTGTGTAGACCTGCCTTTTTGCAGAGCTCAGTTTATCTTCTCAGGCTCCAGTTCTGATTGGTACAGATTGAGTGAGAGTCAGCAGCAGTCCTGAGTGTCCGCATCTTCCCTGGGATCTGTGAGATGTGTAAACTTTTAGAGTTATCCAAGGATTTGGTCAACTTAACAGAGGCTTATGAATGAAATCCTGCCTTCTGCTCTATTGATAATATCATAGAATGATGCACAAGGTTTTCTAACAGTCCTAGAGAAAAACTGTTTGTCTCCTGTACTATTTTGCTTATAGACCCTTGAGAAGACTTAGAGTTGCTTTTTCATTCCTTGGGCTGAGCCTCTTTTTCTGCCTCTGCATGGAGAAAGGCATCATTGCGCTGGCTCTCTGCCCAGCCTTGCTTTTGTATTTCTTTGATCTCATTGTTCAGAGGGTCTCAGAGAAACCCCAAGAGCCATGCCTTTGCATGTTTAAGCTATTGATGCTTTTGAAATAACAGAGCGTCGCCGTGTAAGAAGTGTATTAAAGGTCTATCTTGAACAAATTTGGGTCAATAGGTGGCAGTAGTCACCTAGTCCCGAGGCCCTGACACCCGCTGAACACAAGCACATTTGATGGCCATTATATTTAAGGTTGTGGGAAAGGAGGTCACATTGCAATGAAAATGAGGGGAAAGCAATCCTTTTTGTTGGAATCCAGAATACTGAAATGTGCTGGATTACTTGTGAGAGTGCTGGAGGGGGGAGATTGCTGTCAGCAGTGAAGGGCATGGCAGGAAAGAGCAGGGCCTCAGGATCGGGGGAGTGCCAAGTGGGTAGAAGGGTTTCTGAGAGCTAGAGTAGGACTGTTAAATGAGGACCAGTGCTAAAAGAATAGTCTTAGGTTGGGGGCGTAGAGAGATGGAGGGAAGTGGAGGAGGGAGAGGCAGAGCTGTGTGAAGGGACCCT